CTAGGTTGCCATTTCTTTAGATCTTCATTAGTTTGTATTAATAATCCTGCTCGATTTTTCTAGTCTTCTAATTCTTTTAATGGATTGATGCAACAGTCAAGATCTAAAATATCATAACTGTTAAAACTAGTGGTGGAATATTTTGGTATGTAAGATTGAGGTATTTTACCTCATTCCCCACCGACTTGAGTTCAAGGCCTTAAACCTCATTTCTTAAGGAGAATCTTAAAGCCTTCCTATTGTCAAATGTCATTAGCAAAAGTGAATTTACGTTTAATGATATAACTATGGTTATTAATCTTTCAGTCTAAGTTAGTAACGTAGTTGGTGTCATTATTAATAGGTGTGTATAAGCATTATCAATGTTTGAAAAATAAGATATTAATAATATCTAATAAGGTACTTAACAATCATTAGTTGCTATCATTATCAAAGTTTTTGGATGCATTATCCATTAAACACATGTTACTTATTAATGCATTTTTAGTGCTATTTGACATTAAACATTGCATCTGAATATTATTAATATTTTTATTACAAAAATCTATTTCCTTATCAGTGACTTGATCATTCGATATTAATGTTTTTTAATATCTTTATTAAAAGTTTGATGTCATTTATAATATTGAAGTCGGACATTTTTACATTGATGTTTTGTATTTTTTTTCAACGAAATACTTTTCGTGATCAATGATTTATTGTATTGTTATTAGAAGTTTGGTGTTGAGACGTGAATGTTGGTTTGCTTGAACTAATATTTTTGGGTTCTAGGTATAATATGCCCCCTTTATTTTGCATTTTTCTCAAACATGCCCTTCTACTATAAATCACTTCAAATCTACCCTTCTACTATTAAACACATCCCAAACATGCCCTTCCGTTTGTTTCTCCGTCCAAAACCGTGAGTTCAGTCTAACCGAATTATGGTCAACCCGATATATCAATGAGAGAGGGTTAAATCTTCATTCACATCTCGTCGATTCATTCATTCCCTCCAGCAAACCCGATACCCTAATGCCTCTTCCATCGTCTCCGCCACCTCAATTCTCTTACATTTGATTGTCAGGCACCACCTCCACCATGTCGTCTTCAAACCGATGGTGGCTTCTACCTCCAACCCCGTCAACGATTTCCTCCCCTCCGGCGACAACAACCCTCTACCGAATCCAACCATTTGTTTTCCACTAACGCCGCCACCAGCGCATCGCCGTCGTCAATCTCTGGGGACCCTCCCCGATCAGGTCCACTCTTTCGTTGCCCTCCTGGATCTATTGCGCCGCCATATGCTTTGGCCTAGATTCATTGGCGACTGCACCCGAGACTCTTCCACTGTGAAACCTCTGGTTCGCCGCCACTCTGTTTCAGCAATCCATCTGGCCCAAGATCTCTACTGTCTTTGATCTTTGATTCCTCTATTCCTAAACTCTAATTTTGCCATTAAATCCTATACCCTCTCGATAACAAGATATATAAAGAAAGAACTCAATTTCGCCAACAACAAAATCCCTACAAAAAAAAAGTGAAATCTCTAATTTTTAATTATACATGTAAGTAGCAATTTGAAGCTGGTAATAAGCCAACGTATATGATCCCGATTTGCAAAAATTAGAAAGAAGGATCAAACCAGTACTAATTTTCAATTATTAGAACGATGATGTTAGGGCTGGAGGGAAAGGGCTGTGTGGTTCTCTTTTACCCGCTCAGTTCATGATATCGTATTGACCAGAATCTGGTTGGACCTATTATAACGGTAATAGGATGGAGAAACAAACGAAAGGGCATGTTTGGGTTGTGTTTAATAGTACAAGGGTAGATTTGAAGTGATTTATAGTAGAAGGGCATGTTTGTGAAAAATGCAAAATAGAGGGGCATATTATACCTATAACCCAATATTTTTTTGGACAAGTACCCAAGATGTTTAAAATCAGTATTGTGCTTTATGATCATTGAGAATGATAATGTAAAGCAGTATTAATTGATCAAATAACGTTAATAATGTCATTAGAAATCATTGGAAGAGACCATGACTAGATAGTAATAAACATGATGTGAAAATGTGAATCATTAGTACTAAAGATGTTGTAAATCAATTATATTGTTATTCAAACTGTTAATGACCATGTTACATAACTTTAATGATTAATTCATAGGCGTTGATGACGAAACTATAAAACAGTAACAATTGATCCAAAATTGTTAGTAATGTAATTGTAAGGAATTAATAAGTATATTGAAGTCGTTAATAATGATGAGGTATAATAATAACGATTCATTTCATAAATGTTAATAATGTTATGCAAAATGTTAATACTGTATTACAAGTTGCCACGAAGTGGGAGAGAGCATATATTTTTAATTTTCAATTTTCATTTTAAAAAATAAAAATATGAAGTTCGAATTTATTAAATATTAAATAATAATATTTAATTAAATTAATTTCGAATTCCCTATTAATTGTAGTGGAGAGAGAGGGTTATGGAAAAGATCAAGGGGGAGAGATAAAGAGAATCATTAATGAGTAATATTAATTATATTTTCATAAGATCTTACATATTCCAACTAACTATTAACTACGTACTAACCCCTATTAACTACCTAATCTAGTATTACCCAATAATAATGGTTTAAGAACCTCCTTAAACAATGAGACTTAAGGACCGGATCCAACCGTCCCCCCCCCCCCTCCCTTTGCGAGATGCATACGAATTTTTATATAAGTATTCATAAAAAAATAGTTGACCATCTTTATAATTATTGAAATCATGTTTTCGTGATGTATACGAATTTTTATATAAGTATTCATAAAAAAATAGTTGACCATCTTTATAATTATTGAAATCACGTTTTCGTGATGTTTCAGGTTGATCCTCAGTTTCAGTTTTGTATAATTTGTATTTGTGTAATTTTAATAGGGGTTTTCGTCGCTCATATAGTCATTGACTATTTTATCATTTTCGATATTTTCTTTTGTCTCTGGTTCCGATTCGATAGTAATTGGGGCTAGTAAATCATTTAATTTATTGATTTGTTCTTCAATATTAGTCATAGAAGTTTGTAGGGTGCTGTGATAGTTAATGAACTTGATTTACCTGATTTATGTTCATTAAGATGTTTTTCCATATCCAATTGTAATGCACCTTTTATTGTCTAATTTAATTATTATTTCTTGAAGTTTGATAATGATTTCCTTAAGATCCTCTTCCAGTAATACTATTTTCATAGAATTTGAAGTTGATTTTTCTATTGCCATTTCTCTTTGTTTTATATCTACTATAATCTTAGTAATTGTATCATTAACCAGTTCTAAATCTGAATATATATCTATTTGTTTTTTATTACATTGATATTCTAGTATTGATCTTAGTTGTTTATTATTGTTTTCTAGTATATTTATTATTTTTTCTTGATATTCGTTCATTATTTCCCCAATTTCTAGTTTTATTGAAATATTTCTGGTAGTCATTTTATTAATTTTGTGCCTATAATGAGGATTTCTGAATTTGGGATGATATTTATTGAATTAATATTGTATTGGGTGTTTCTAAAAGTGAATTTTTCAATTTATCTTTTAGAGTCAATAACTCATCATTCATTTTCTCATCTCACTTTCTCATCTCACTTTATCATCTCTCATATACAAAAATTTAATAGTTTACATTAGGTGTTCCAGCCACCTAACGTGCCAAAAGAAACTTTTCCTTAATTGAATGGCGGGGTTTTTCGGCTCCAATCCAATTTGTCCCGTAACATTTTTTTCTGGGTTAGTAGTAAAATTCTGTCCATAGTAAAACTTGTGGTCCACACCACGGCCACGACTCCACCTGCCCTTACTGGCGGGCGCAGGAGAATACAGATCATTGTATTTACAGTGTCCCTTGCCTTGCCTATGGTTAGGGTGAACAAAACAACCCGCAAATCAATCCATTCGTCCAACCCGATCAAAGCCACCCGTATTTATCATCAAAATTAAAGTTTAAGATTGGGTGAGAGTTTTCTTTTGTACAACCCGCCTCTGTTAGGTTGGGTCCGAATTTTGGGTAATGACCTGTCGAACCCGACTCAACCCCTGTTGAACTATTGTCATAAGTGTTCGTATACAACACATATTTGTGTCATAAATAAACACATTTGTGAGAAAATTAAGCTATCTTATCATATTTTCTCTTGTGGTTTCTCTAGTCTAATACATTCTTCAACTTAATATTTATACGTAGATTTAATAGAAATTTGATTCACGTAATCTTTTTTCTTGTGTGTACAATTTTAGAAGAACAACATATTATGAATGTGTTAGCTTATAACTATTTTAGCTTACTTCAACAAATATTTATGAAAACTAGACATATGTTGAATTAAATTGCATTACAATAAAATCGAAACAATATTTATGTATATTGAAACTTTTTGTATCGATTTATTTGTTTAAAATCTTAATCAGTTGCATAATATTTCGTAGTGTATAATAGTTTCCTTTTTCTGTGTTGGTTGAATATTAAATAAACGTATCTCCAACCCGACCCAACTCAACTATAAACAAACCGTAGGATTTTAGTTTTTTGGATTGAGTTAGATTTAACATTTTCAAAACCGTAGTATATGTGTCGGGTGATTAAAATGACCAAACCCGAACCACCCGACCCATATACACTCCTACCTTTGGTTGTTGATTTTTTTTTGTTAATACCTTAGTTTGGCCCGAACTATAGACAAATTTTCTGCTTTGGTCCGTGGTATCGAAAATTGCTATTTTGGCCTGAACTATGTAGTAGACTTCTTTATTTAGCCCAGAGGCGGGTTTGACCGTTAGTCAAAGTCCACCTCACTTGTCACGTCAACTATCAGGGAATAAAAAAAATTGAATTTCTGTATTTGTTTACTTTCTAATAATATAAATAATAAACGAAAAAGTGGGGAGCTCTTTTATCGTGGTGAAACAGAACAACAACGACGGCCGAGGATCGCCAAGCGCCGCGGCGACGAACAACAGCAAAACCTACTTCATGTCGTTCGGCGGAGGGGCGTGGCTATGCGCGGGTTCGGAGTTCGCGAAGCTGGAAATGGTTGTTTTCATCCACTCCGAAGAGCGGCGTTATGATAATGAGCGTCGAGCAGGATGGGACTATGTTCCCTCCAACTGCAGCAGGGGGGTCGTACGAGTTCTTCGACCTTTTCCGAGAAGACAGGTTTTTGAAGCCGGCGGGAATCGACGACGGAGAAGGGCAGACTCAGGAGAGCATCATGAATGCACTTGGGTTACAGTCATTGTTGAGTGACGAGATGGCGCAGCTGGAGGAAGCTCTCTGGTCGACGATGGCGGTGGCGGCGGGAAACGATCCAGTCCCCGAGGCGACGGTAGCATGGGAGTCGGCGCAGGAGCAGCAGGGGTTTGAAGCAGGCGATTTCGGAGTAGAAGAAATCGAAATCGAAAAATGGGGAGCTCTTTTAATTAATTTTTTTGTTTATTATTTTTATTATTAGAATGTAAACAAAACTAGCGTGGGCCCCGGCCATTTGGCCGGAGGAAGGTGAGGTATTAAATTTGATATTGTAATGGGGTGTATAGCATATTGTTGTATAGTTTTTTTGTGGGAAACACGTTATAAAAATAGTAAATTTTAGTAGGAAAGAGACATGAATGATGCAACGAATCAAAAATCAGCCTTATGAACCAAAATCAAGTACATGTTACCTTGTGAAACAATATTGTTTCTGGTAATATGATGAGGTGGAGTAAGTTTTATAGAAACCGAATTCCAGAAAATCGAATAAAAAATCGCCTATCCCGCCGGTTTTCGTCAAATGAGCATCTCACAATCGTTGCTAGCTTTTACTCGGCCCGATTAATTTGCTTTATAAAACTTTCATATTGTTATCATTGTGCTTTCTGGTTTTTTGCCAAGCCATGATAAAATCTAAAGAAATCAAGAATGAAAAACACGATTTGGGATAGGAACCACTGTTCCTGTATCCCTAGAAAATGGTAATAAACACGGACTCACCTGCCAAACTGGTTTGGATTGAAATTTTTATCGGGCATAAGGGAACCATGTGATTATAAATTAAGCTTGATCAAAATGGGCCAAAACTTGAAATTCAGCTTGTTTGACCGACCCATGCCAAACTCTAATTATTTTTTACTTTTAAACTTTCTATTTGAAAATAAAAAAATAATGAAAGAAAAGAGATGACTGCAATTCGCAATTTGCACATCACTGATTCGGGAATAAAACTATAGAATTTCAAAAGAAAACTGAAAAATGTTTAGAATCGTTTTAATGTTAAAAATAACCAAATAGATCTTTCTTTTTAGTTTTTTACTAACAAATACCAAACGATTCCCTATAATATACACTATAATTTAATCATTATGATATCAAATAATTATATTTTAGCCACTAAGATATAAAATAATAGCATAATATATATTATGCTAGAGAAAATAGCTTGTTTTAGAATGACAAACCCATGATGTTCATTTGTTTTACTTGATGAGCAAATCCCGTGAAGGTCAGGCCCATTCAACTCTTTTATTTTATGATTAGCGGTTAGCCCATTAGAATCAATGCATTAGTTTATTGTAATTTTTTTTCTTCTTTTTAGCAATAAAAATAGTATTTTTTTTTCTCGTTGAATCAATTGCTTTTATTCCAAGAAAACCGATACAACAAGTCGAGATTTACAATCCCGCGTGAAAAACAAACTATCTCTACTACTTCGTGCTCTAAGTATGTATACTATAGCACCTACTTAAGACAAAAAGACTATAGGTAACCCAGCCTGACCAATGAATCTCTAATCTCTCTGTTCCCACTAGATAGAAATAGCAAGTCCATTTTTACCAAGTCTGCAACCTGTACTGGGGAATGACCAGGAGAGCCATGAACTACTCCACAACGCTCTTTCCAAACCGACATTACCAGCATACACCAAACCAGAGCGTTCCATTCACCAACCCTGGTCATTGAAGCCATCATGGCTTCCCAATCACCATGGAGTAGGTGTTGACAGTTTAGAGAAGCAGCAAGACTACGAGCAAACACACAATGAACAAAGAGATGATCCCTGCTCTCAACTGCCTGACCACAGAGAGGACAAGAAGCATCCCTGAGGTTCCCCCACTTCAGCAGCTTATCTCTTATGACAATGGCATTTCGAATGATAAGCCAGACAATTAAGCTGAACCGAGGAGGACAGTACTTTCCCCACACTAGGTTATACCATGAAACAGTAGGAGCTCTATTTCTCAAAGTTTCCCAGACTCTTCGCACTGAATATTCTGTCATCTCCTTTGAATCCCAGAAAATAGTGTCATTCTGCTTAACCATCCAAGGGGAGATCACATCTCTCAGCTTTAAGAGTTTCCTCCAAGCCCATGAGCTACTGTATTGCACGCGAAAAGACCAAAGATCCTGCTGTCTACACCTGTAAGCATTCATCCATGCTACCCATAATGTCCCTGAATTCATTAAGAAAAGCCAGAGCAACCGGGCTGAGCACGCTTTGTTCCAAGCACCTAGATCCCTCACTCCAAGCCCCCCTTCTCGTTTGGGCAGAGCCACATACTCCCAGGCTACCTTTGCTCTACCTTCATCTATACCATGCCATAAAAACTGATAACAGATTTTCTGAATCTTTTTGAGAGCTTGCTTTGGTAAGATAAATAGCTGCATCCAATACTGAACTATGCCAAGAAGTACAGAATTCAGTAATTGAAGCCGCCTTGCATAAGTAAGTCTCCTAGCACGCCATGATCTGATGCGCTTGGTTAGTTTCTCCACAAGTATATCAATCTCACTAGACGAAAGCTTACCAGCCAGTAAAGGCAACCCTAGATACCTGACAGGCAAGCTCCCTTCCTGAAATCCAGATAGTGCAAGAGCATTACTCTTATATAACACTGATTCTCCCCCAAAGTACACTTCACATTTGGCTGGATACAGTTAAGGCCAGAGATATGATAGAAATGCTGAAGAACAGCTTTGACCTGCAGAATAGCCTGAGCATATCCTTTGGTGAAAATAAGCAGATCATCTGCGAAACACAAATGGTTAAGAGGAACCCTCTTACAGTGAGGGTGAAAAGGCAGGGCCCCTGACTGGCTAGCCTCCTTCAGCATCGTAGAAAGCCCTTCCATGGCTATCGTGAACAGATATGGTGACAGTGGGTCACCCTGACGAACACCCTTCTTAGCTCGAAAAAATCCACAAAGACTACCATTGACATTAATGCTATAGTGAGCAGTTTGCAAACAGCTCCTAATCCACACCATAAACTTCCCAGGGAATCCCATAGCAGTCATCATGAAGAAGAGATACCTCCAGTTTACAGAATCGAACGCTTTCATTATGTCTATTTTTATAGCACAGTGAGAAGATAAACACTTCCTATTGTAACCACACACTAACTCTTGAGCAAGCACTATATTATCCATGATACTCCTCCCTTGAATAAACGCAGATTGGGAATTACTGATAATCAATGGCATTATCCCTCTGATTCTGTTTGCTAGAATCTTAGCTATTATCTTGTAAAGAAGATTTATGCACGAAATAGGCCGAAAATTCTTAAGGGTATCAGCATTAGACACTTTGGGCAATAAAGAGACAGCAGTGGAGTTGACACCACTAGGAAGTGTACCTGAAGTGAAGAAGAATTGTATTCCCTTGATCAGATCATCACCAATAATGTCCCATGTCCTCTTGAAAAAGCCCGCAGAGAAGCCATCAAGGCCTGGAGCCTTTTGGGAATCCATACTAAATACAATTCTCCTAATTTCCTCTGTTGTGACTGTTTGAATCAAGTCTTCACATGCAGCTTGGGGGATCTGCTTTTGTACCAACTTCATTACCTCTTCCTGACTAGGCTTGATCTCCAAATTTTCTTCTCCCAATAGCCTCTTATAGTAGCCTATCACTTCTGCAACAATCTGGTCAGTTTGGTAAAGTTCCTCCCCTGAATCCTTCACCAGTTTCCTAATTGCCCTCTTCGAATTACGAATCTTTACTGCCTGATAAAAGAAATTAGAACACTTGTCCCCCACTGATAACCAGGACACTCTCGATTTCTGCCAACAAAAGCACTCATAGGCCTTAGAAATTTTCTCATAATTATCCTTAGCCTGAGTAACAGATTCAAAGTGCTCTGCTGTGGGATTGGAAAAAGCCTTCATATTAGCACTCTGTAATGCATCTGCTGCCTCCCTTACTTAATCCTGAAGATTCCCATACACCTCTTTGTTGAACTTTTTAAAGCCTGCTTAACTGCACGCAATTTTCCTTGAATAATCTGCAATGGATTCCCTGTAATCTCAACCTTCCAAGCAGTCTCAACAATATCCAAAAATCGCAGATGATTAGCCCAAAACTCAAAGTACTTGAATGGTTTAGGTAATGATTTGATAGGGGCAGTTGTACTTACCTGTACCCCACAATGATCCGAGAAGTTAGCTGGAATCACTTCAATAACACAATTTTTAAACATCTCAATCCAATCCAAATTAACCAAAGCCCTATCCAGTTTTCTAGCAATAGGATTGTTAACCTGTCTGTTGGTCCATGTAAACTGAGGGCCAGTCGACCTATAGTCCATCACCTCCATATCCCCAATCCAATTATTGAAATCATTCATACTTGTTGTAACACTCCTTTGATTCGATGTCTCCTCCGGAGCACGCACTGTGTTAAAATCCCCTCCTATAATCCAGGGATAACCAATAACCTTGAGTTTAGATATCTCCTTGTATGTTGCTAGACGTTCAGCTTCATCATTTGAAGCGTAGACAGCAGTTAGAAAGAAACTGCCCTTATTGATATCCTCCACCAAGCAATGAACATAATTCCTGCCCGGTTTTAGAACCTGAACCCTTATCTCTGGAGCCCAGAATAACCAAACTATACCCAAATTTGAGTCAACACAGTCAATACATCGCTCCCATCCAGCAAATACTTCTTCCACAGCCTCTTTTGCTTTTTCTGCCTTTATTCTAGTTTCAAGAACAACCACTACATCTACCTTATTACATAAAAAAAATAGTATTGTTTTTGCCTTTTCATATATATTTTACCACCACGGAGAAATAAAAGAACTTAAAGAAAAAAGTGACACTCCTGGACCCGTTTAAATCCGCATGTGTACGGTAAGTTGGGCCGTTCCACAGAGGATAAAGAAAAAAATTGGCACTCCCTATTCTACCCTTCCTACAAACACTCCTGGAGCAGGGAATTTGAAATGGGTGAAGGTTTTTTTCTCTCTGCGATTATATGTTTTTAATTTA